AAAAAAGAAAGAAGATCTTCTATAAATTTTGACGAAAATTAAAAAATCTCTAATTGTTGTTGTAAGATATCAATTAAGAAAGATCTCAAAGTTTTTTATGTCAACAAATAATTAAACAATATCTCAAAGTTATTTATGTCAACAAAAAATCAATTAGGCAATATGAATAATATTTCTTAAAGCATATCTGGATTTTCCAAAAATAAACCCGGCTAGTATTTATTTAAACAAATGATATCCTAATATAGTAAAAAAGTTTATTGGCGGGAAATAGTTACTATTTTAAAAATAATCAAACATTTTTATATATATATAGGTTTATGTAGATTACCATCTAAACCTCTGAATGAAATGCATCATTGTGTCCGTAGCTTGCCTAATTGTCAACCAGAAATGCGAAAAATGACAAGTCAGGATTAATCACCTGTGGACCACATTTCTATTGTGCAGATACTTCAAACCATGCAAAATCTGCCTTGTATACGCTGAGGCTTGTGAAACTCGGAGCTCATACTTCTGGTACAGGCTCAAGAGGGAGCCTTTAGTAACTAGCTCAAGAAAACTATAGAGATGTGCTTCGTCCTACAAATAAGAATGACAAAGGCATAAGACATCATGTAAAAATGAACAGACTTTTAATCCACTCATCATTAGCAGTTAAAGGGGGAGACAAATAGAAAAATCAACAACAACAACAACAACAACAACATACCCATACCCAGTATATTCCCAACAGGTTGGGATTTGCGGAGTCAGTTGTACGCAGACCTTACCCTTGTAATTATACAAGGAGGCTATTTCCGTAGCGACCCAAGGTGCATTGCGCCGTTTGATATATATATATATATATATATATTTATATATATTTTTGTTTTTTTTTTTTTTTCTATAAACTTCACTAATAGAAGAAGCACTAGAATTTAATTGAGCTATTTTGATCTAGTCCATTATTAGCACTATGCCAGGAGAATTGTAAAAGATAATAATATGACAACCTAACACAAAACAAGTAAAGGAAAACGATGTAATAATGGTACCTTCATTGTGCCATAATATCGGACAATGTTCTCATGTTCAAACTGGCTTAGGAGAGCAATTTCCTAGAGACAGACAAAAAAGAAACAAAATATAAAGAGTTGGGGAAGAACAGGATACAATCTGACTCTATTCCGTCAATAATCTGGAAACATAACTTTACATGGAGAACAACCAGCATCATTATCAGGATTGCTATACCTGTTCAAGTTGGATAATGCTATGCTTTCCCTCATCCCCTTGATCAAGCAATGATACTTCCTTGATGGCAAAAAAGAAACCGTCACTGCAGCAAAGAGAACAGTTATAAATTTACAGCCAAAGGAGTCGCCTGAAATTTGAGTTTTCCTTCATACAGACTGCACAAGTTATGTGATAAGTATATTTCAAGATGCTTGCAGCATAAGACATGTTTTCCTCACATCACCAGGGTTATCCTTCAATTACAATAAATTGCAAAAGCAAAATGAGCAAAGACATAGAAAAATGAGAAAATAGAAATTAGAAAAAAGGACACACTCACAAAGATCAGTCAATATCAATCTTGATCTAAAATTTTACAATCAGTGACATTCTATCTCTCTTTTTTTACTATCCGTCAAAATGGTTTACAACACCCGGAGCACACATGGAAAGGCAAATGGAATTTATGCTGAAAATTTGGGTCATTCATCTTCCGAAAATATAGATGAAAAAATATCGGAAGAATCGCGCCCCAATGTCAAATGTGCATCATCTATGTAAAAGATTATCACGTGCACACATCATCTGTCATCAACTAAGCTATGCTAACAGAACAACATTTTTTATTCAAGGGGGGAAATAGATCAATTCAAGCTAACTGCAATTAATCCACAAATTAAGTATGCCAGAAATGAAACATTGACGCAACAAATCCAGAAGTGCAAGCATACAAGTCGGAACAACCACATTTCGTCCACGCACAGAATCAATGATTGAATATACCATTAATGGTCAATCAAACACTTCACTTACTCAGAAATCCCTTCATACACAGATCCGAATGATCCACGACCCAAAAGCTCTCCCTTCTGCCAATCCTCAATAACTCGCCTGAATTTCCCACTAGGTGAAAAACTTGATATCGGTGTTGTTATGGCACTTGAGGAATCATCATTATTTGAAGTTAAGGAAAAAGAATATGACTCTGACAAAACAAAGTTCTCTTCCCCACTCATCACCGTCATTATGAAATCCTTGTCCTGCTCATCCCTATCCAGACCATTCTCTCCATCCTCATCTGAACAAAAGCCTCTGTCAAACCGCGAAACACGTACTGTGAAAATCGAACAGTTATGGAGAAGATATTTTTGGGAATTTTCTCACCACATTTAATTCAACACAAAAAAACTAAAAATGAAATACGTACAGAGTACTTATCCATGCAAGACGACAAAACAAAGAAGACGACTAAAAACGGCGTCGTTGCCATTAAGCAAAACGACGCCGTATACAACCGAAATAAAAAAACCCAAAAACGACACAGTTTAATACAAAATAAATAAAACTGAAATGCCCCAACTTTGAACACTCTCATGCACACCACCATGCATTACACTTCAATTCCAACACCCGCCCCTCAAGATGGGCCATGATGAGAACGCAGCATGCCCAGCTTGGACACAAGAACAGAAAATCGCGCTCCGGTTATGATCTTGGTAAACAAATCCGCAAGCTGGTGCATAGATGCCACATAAAGAGGAGTGATGAACCCTTGTTTATATTTGTCCCGAACGATGTGGCAGTCGATCTCGAGATGTTTAGTACGTTCGTGAAACACGGGATTGGCCGTGATGTGCATGGCAGCATGATTGTCACACCATAAAGGAATGGGAAAGGTCAAAATGACATGAAATTCCTGAGCAAGATAATGCAGCCACATGAGTTCTGAAACCGTGGAGCCCATTGCTCTGTATTCAGCTTCGGCAGACGACTTAGAGACTGTGTGTTGCTTCTTGCTCTTCCATGAAATAAGGGAATCGCCAAGAAAAATACAGAACCCAGTAACCGATCGTCTAGTGTCTTTGCAAGTGGCCCAATCAGCATCACAATAGGCCACTAATGTGAAAGATGAACTGCTGTGAGGATAGAACAGACCTAGGGAAGATGACCCTTTCAAGTACCTCAGTATATGAAGAGCTGCTTGCCAATGAGGATCATGTGGACTGTTAACAAACTGGCTGAGTTGTTGAACCCCATAGGTGACATCAGGTCTAGTGAGTCCAAGATAGAGCAGCCTCTCAATTAGTCTTCTGTAGATATCAGGTTGTTCTAAAGGACTTCCACTTTGTGAATCCAAATGAATGCCAAGAGGTAAAGGAGTAGGGGCTGCTGTACAATTGAGCATATTCAAATCACCAAGAATGTCCAATATATATTTCCTTTGACACAGTAACACACCTCTGTCTGAGTAGTTCAATTCAATTCCAAGGAAAAACTTAGCAACCCCTAAGTCCTTATTTGTAAACTGTTTGTCCAAGAATAGCTTTAGTTGATGGATTAGAGAAGATGAAGAACCAGTGACTAGAACATCATCTACATAGACCAGGAGGGCCAAGAAATCAGTGTCCTTAGTCAAAGTGAATAGACAATGATCATATGAGGACTGAAGCAAACCAAATTGTGATAACTTCCTGCAGAGCTCAAGATTCCATTCTCTTGAGGCTTGCTTAAGCCCATATAGGCTCTTAATAAGCTTACAAACTTGTCCTGGTCTGGCCTTATCATACCCTTGTGGGGGTTGCATAAAAACTTCCTCTGACAATGTGCCATGAAGGAAGGCATTGTTTACATCCAATTGATGTAAATCCCAATTTTTATGGACAACCATTGCTATGAGAAATCTCACTATGACAAGTCTTGCTACTGGTGAGAAAATATCAAAATAGTTCACACCTTCTATCTGGTTATACCCTTTAGCAACCAACCGAGCCTTAAATCTTTCAACTGACCCATCAGCTTTTCTTTTAATTTTGAACACCCACTTGCAACCAATAGCTTTCTTTCCCTGTGGTAAATCAGTGAGTTCCCATGTGTGGTTACTCTCAAGTGCATCCAATTCCTTTTGCATGGCCTCTATCCAAGAAGGATGCAAGACAACTTGTTTAAAGTGTGATGGCTCCTTTTCAGTGTAAATATTGGCAATGAACTCATTGTGGGGTAGAGGCTCAATTTTGGTGAACTGTGCTGAATTGTCTCTTAAAATGTAGTCATTATGCCACTGAGGTGCACTTCTGTTTCTGTGACTTCTTCTCATTTGTGTGTCATTTGTCACATCATTCTGAGTATGCTCTATGTCCAAGTGAGGAGCCTCAATCTCCTCAGCCTCTTCAACATGGTGTGGTAGTACTATGTCATCTGTGGACTGTGTGATAGAAGGAAACTCATTTTCAAAAAATACCACATCTCTTGCTATGAAAACTTCACCACTGTCAACATCATACAACTGATACCCTTTGTGACCCACTGCACTCCCTAGGTGAACACACTTACTTCCTCTTGGGGCATATTTTGATTTCAATGGATGAACTTTTGCAGCATAGGCTAAGCACCCAAAAGGTTTCAACCTTGTGTAGTCTGCCTGTTTGTTATAAACCTTTTCAAATGGTGTCTTCCAATCCAAGACTGCACTAGGCAATCTATTAATAATGAAGGCTGCAGCTTGAACTGAATATGGCCAAAACTTCAGAGACAATTTCCCTTGAAACATCAAAGCCCTCCCAATCTCAAGTAATTGTCTATGTTTTCTCTCCACTACACCATTTTGTTGTGGTGTGTAAGGATAACTTGTTTCATGAACTATCCCCCTGTGCTTAAAAAAATTCTGCAGCTCCTTGCTCAAAAACTCTTGTCCATTGTCTGATTTTATCTTCTTGACAGTTGTTTCAAACTGTGTTTCTGTCATTTGCACAAACTCACTAAGAAACTTTGCAGCTTGTAACTTATGAGTCATAAGAAAAATCCACACTGCTCTACTAAAATCACCAACCACTGTTAGAAAGAATGGTATAGCTGTAAGTGCCTCATCTTTGCAGGGTCCCCAAATGTCCACATGAAACATCTCAAAACACCTACTAGCATGTATGTGAGTGTTCTGAAAAAGAAGTCTGTGTTGCTTGGCTTTAAAGCATACCTCACATGATTGAACTGCCTTACTCTCTGAATCTGTAAATTTCCCTTTGATGAAAGGAAGATGCTGCTTTGTACTATAACTGGCATGACCAAGACATTTATGCCACATTGCTAAAGAGAAATTACACCCCAGAGAATTTACCTTGTTCTTGGTCACATTATCCTTTCTCAGAATATACAGATTTCCCTTTGATGTACCTTCACCAACTATTTTTCCACTATCACAATGTTCCAGCAGACATGCAGTAGATGAAAAGGAGCACTTCACCTTTTCATCAAGACAAAGTTGGTTGACTGAGAGAAGATTGTACTTAAACCCTGGAACATACAAAACTTCTTTCAATGTGAGAGCACTGGTTACTGCAACTATTCCACCAGTATTTACCTTCTTATATGAGCCATCTGGTAAACACACTGAGATAGGTTCTTTCAGTATAAAAACATTCTTCATGATATTCAGGTTTCCACACATGTGTCTACTGGCCCCAGTGTCTATGATCCACTCACCATTGTTCACATCTTCTGCTATTGTTAGAGCAAAATGAACTCCATCCTTCTCTTCATGGTTGTTAAAGCCTGCCATCTGTGCATAGTCAATTTTCCCATCCATGCTTTCTTTACCTTTGATGTATTGACTGATTTCCTGTAGCTGCTTTACCATGTTGTGATCGGAATTAATTTGGAAAAAATGTTGTATTTAATTTTACTGATTTAGTATAATTTCCATTTTTTGAGCTTGAGTTATGAGTGAGAGAAAAGAAAAGAAATGAGGAGGGAGAAGATTGTAGAGAGAGAAAGAGAGAGGTGAGAGAAGAGAATATTTTGGTTGCATAACAAACTGTCTCCCGATTCCCTTCATTCACCTATTTATCCATAACAATTGGGCATGGCCCACTACAATTACCCCCCAACGGGTAAAACTCCAAATGTCTCTAAAAATGAAAAATGCAACAAACATGCCTAATTTAATTAATAAAGTAGAAATGAATAAAATGATATTCATCATTCAGCCACTTGTACGTCTGGATCTCTATGGGCCCTTTTCTCATCTACGGCTTCTGCTTGAACACGTGTCGCGTCCCCAACTCCCTTCTTCTCTTCAGACAAAACCCTATCCTTTGTCTTGACTTTCCCCATTTCTTCCTTAGCCATTTTCATCTCATCTTCCTCGTTCATTTTCAGTTTCATATCACCAGAATCAGTGCTCAAAAATTGTAGAGTCATGACATTTCCCCTTCCATTTTTAGATCCTTGTCCACAAGGATCAAAACCCCTAAATCTTTTTGTCAAAAATTTCTCATCTTCCCAGGAGCAAATTCCTAACGATTTGTCTCCCCAAGCTACTAGCAACTGTTGAACATCTTCCTTACCTCGCGAGATGCTTCTGCGGTCAAGGACTTCAGTGGGCGCCGCTTTGAAGAGCCCATCCTCATCTGTCTCGGGCAGCTTACTTACAGATAAGTGTCCATCTCCCATTTTCTTTTTGAGAAGAGATACATGAAACACAGGGTGAACTTTTGACCCTTCTGGTAATTCAAGTCTATAAGCCACCTTACCAATCTTCTCTGTTATTTTGTAGGGTCCAAAATACCTGGAACTGAGTTTGAGATTTTTCTTCATGTGAACAGAATTCTGTCTGTAGGGCTGCAGCTTGAGGTAAGCCATTTCTCCAACTTCAAATTCCCTTTCTGTCCTATTCTTGTCTGCATATGTTTTCATTCGGTTTTGTGCTACCCTCAAGTTTTCCTTCAGACCCTGCATCATCATCTTTCTCTGCACAATGAACTCCTTGGCATCATGTTGTGGGGAGTCCAGGTAGGCATTAGTGGGTATAGAATTAGGACTGTAGCCATAGAGGGCATGAAAGGGTGTGGATTTGAGCGAGGTATGATAATTGGTGTTATACCAATATTCTGCCATAGGTATCCAGTTGGCCCACTTCTTTGGGGTTTGATGAACCATACACCTGAGATAGTTTTCCAGGCATTGATTTAATCTCTCTGTTTGTCCGTCTGTCTGAGGATGATAGGAAGAAGAAAAACTGAGAGTTACCCCCACCATTTTAAAGAGTTCCTTCCAAAACAGACTTGTAAACACTTTATCCCTGTCAGTTATAATACACTCAGGCATCCCATGCAGCTTGTAGATGGAGTCCAAGAATATCTTAGCTACCCCTTGTGCAGTATAGGGATGTGAGAGGGTCAGGAAGTGGCCATACTTAGTGAGTCTGTCTATGACAACTAAGATTGTGTCCTTTCCCCCAGATTTAGGCAGTCCCTCTACAAAATCCATGGATATATG